TGTAGCTCCGTTCTTTGGCATCGTCATCCCGACCATCCCTGTTCTTCAACTCTTCAAGCTATAGCAACAAGTTATCAAGTTTAACTTTTTTTTTATCTTTCTTTTTTTCTTTTTAAATCTTGTATTTCTTCAAATGGTGTTGATGTTTGGGGACCCTAGCCTATTTCTTCAAATGCTAGTTTTCAGTTTTATGGGCTCTTTATTGATGATTTTACATGCTTCACCTGGTTATATCCTATGAAACATAAATGTGAAACTACACTTAAGTTCATTAACTTCAAAAAACTTGTTAAAAATCAATTTAACCTTTTCATTAAAATCTTACGAACTAATGGAGGAGGAGAATTTCTCAACAACAATCTTAAACACTTCTTAGCTCATCATGGCATTCATCATCAATATACTTGCCTGCATACCCCATTATAAAATAGAGTCGCAGAACACACACACTATCATGTTCTTGAGACAGTTCAAGCTCTTCTTTTTGAAGCCCACTTGTCACTCCAATTTTTGGGTGTTGATTATGCTCTTATTGTTGTATACCTAATTAATCGCTTATCATCCCCAAACACCCACAATCTTTCTCCTTATGAGATTCTATATAACAAACCTCCATATTACTCACATCTGAAAGTCTTTGGGTGTCGTTATTACTCTTGGCTTTAACCATACTCCTCTCATAAACTTGCACCAAGATCCTTCTCCTATATTTTTCTTGGTTACCCTTCCTCTCAAAAAGGCTATCGATTCTACGTTCCCTCTACAGGTCGTCTTTTTATTTCTAGTCATGGACTCTTTGATGAATCAACTCTCAACAATTCATCCTCTCCATCTATACACACTTCCATTCCACCAGATTCATCCCTTTCCATTTCTCCACATCTTCTACCTCCGGCTCTTCACAACCCACCATTTCTGCTACCTAATACTCCTCCAAAAAAATGCTCCCTCACCTCCACCTAGTATGTCAACCTCTCAAGTCTCTCCTTCTTCTTAATTCTTCTTCCTCGTCATCCTCTTCTCAACCTTCCATTCCCATAGTTCCTCCAGCTCCGCCGCATCATCCTATGATTACCCGTTCTCAAACTGATCATCTCAAACCACGCCAAATATTTGATCTTCATCATACTGTTTCTACTAGAACCACTTATTTTTCTATTGCTAATAAACATTTTGAATGTCGTCATGCTCTCTCTATAGAATTTCATGCCTTATAATCTCAAGGCATTTAGGCACTGATAACACCACATCCTAATCAAAAGCAAAGTTGAACTGAACTGTAAGCGGAAATCGATATTCCACTTCCTTGGTTTCATATTTTCAATTCCACTATAAGCATGTCGCGTTTGGTCATCCAATTTTTTTTTAACTTTTTAAATGCATTTACGATCTTAGATTTGGAGCCATTTGGACTCGAATTAAGTAGAATTTGGTGTCGTTGGGTTCGTATTTTCGAGACGTTCAGTTAGACTATAAGTTTGTTGAAATCGGAGTTTGGATGATCCCAGATTTAATTTCGGAAGTTTCAAACTTGATATTTCCTCAAGATTCATGCCCCATCAAGATAATTTTTTGATGATATATCAAGTACTATTGAAGGAACTATATTATTCAAAGCCTAAATGTTAGATATTTAAAAAACAATAAAAAAGCCATCCAAACGAAGTATAAATATGATATATTTTGGAATTGGTACATCTGATTATTATAAATTGATAAATATGAATCTAATTGTTTGAATGTTGAAAATATTTATTAGTTCTTTAAATCCGATTATTATAAATGCATTTTTAATATTTCTTGTAGGAGCAAAAAAAAAAAGTTTAGAATAAATAATAATTTTTTAAAATAAAAAATAACGATAAAAATACTAAATAAAAAAGAAATATAGATAAATACATATCGACTATATCGTCTCTATTGAGGACTTCTCATATTTGACAAAGTGGTCCAATATCTTTTCCTTAGTGCCTTCTCCAAACAAAAGTGTGGTTGAATTTATTGTTTTCTTGCTCCATACTTCATTTAGCACTGTATAAGCAAACCACCGATTAGTGCCAAATAATATTAAACAAATGTGATCAACACTTATAGTAACTATCCGTTGATTCTAACTTTGAAAAACAATAACTTTTATGTAAAATTCATCTGCATTATTGTAAGGAATTTGTTCCAAGGAGAAAATCAACATTTTATTAGAGAAATAAATTATGCGCAAGATATTAAAAGAAAAGTGAGAAATTAGGTCTCAAATTAATCCCTCGGGGTATCTCCAACCAAACTGCAAACGTTAGTGTGGAGCGACCACGAGCCTCCTCCAGAACCTCAAGAAGAAACGTATTCTTGGGGTTAAGAACAGTGCGATGTCAGTATTGGAGTCACGTTGTTCACAGACACCCTTTTTTGTGAAATATATGAAGATGAGAAATAATTTATATGAAATATTCTTTTTTGGTGTTTGAAATGGAGTTCGATTGGAAATAAATTATTTTTTGATATGTCTATTACTACAAGAAGTGAAAAATGAGGAGTTCGTTCGAAGATGCATACCCTTCAGTAATTATCGTACGCGGAATGCAACTAAACTCGCTCAAAATTAAAAAAAGATAAGTTTTTTTTTTAATATATTTAAGCTAATTAAGACAAACTCTCACACACACTCACATACGCAAGCTTTGAACTCAAAATCTTTTGGTTTATTGTCAAAGCTCTCAACCAACAACTCAAGATGAGCTGCGTAAAAATAAGGGATAATTTGAATTGATTTATAGAAGCCTACCTAATCATTAAACAATTTTTAATAGACAAGGACAAAATTAGTGCTATAAAATTAGCAAACTATATAGTTAGAAAATACATAGATTACATGTGCTAAATAAGAAGAGTTGATCATTGAATTCAAAGGGCTATATACACTTATATATAGTCCAAATTATAGCGGAGTTGTATAAGGGCATCTCCAACCGAAAACTCCATTTTTCACTCTATAATGGCGAAAAACTTCAAAATGCCGCAATTCATCTCCAATGGAACTCCATTTCTCTTCTTTTCCGTTCTTTCCCGCGCTCTCTTGTTTCGCGCCTTTCCCTCGAAGCGAAAAAGTAGAGCGATTTTTTTGGCATAGGTGAACAGTCCAACGCCAATATTAGCGTCGGACTGTTCATCCGCATGCCATTGGCGTATTTTTTGGCGATCCATTGGAGCAAAAAGCCACTCCATACACGCGACTGCAGTTCGGCTGGAGAAGCTCTAAACATACATATATCTTATATGTCAATATGTACATGATTTATATGATTGCAAACATCTATATATAATTTTTAGGTGCTAGAAAAGCTATATTTGAAGATTATTTAGTCATCCAATTATTTCCTTGAAATATGTACAATTTTAAATATGCTTCAGTCTCTTGGTTTAAGCCTTTTTGGACTTGGATTGAGCCGGTTTTGATGCCATTGGGTTTGTCTTATCGAGACGTTCACTTTGACTTTAAGGTTGCTGAGATTGGAATTTGGATGATCCCAAATTTAATTATGAAAATTTCGAATTCAAATGTATGTCGAGGTTATAACTTGATCAAGATGATATATTATTTGACCCCCTATTTAGAACATTGATGTTTTTACAGTTTGAAAATGAACTAGCACCTGAATACATATATAATCATAAAATATAGCTAATATGACTATAAGCACCTATATATAATAAAAATGATAAAATAAATTATTTTTTGATATGTCTATTTACAAGCCATGCCACTCTTGAAAAACTATAAATAGAGCCATCATTCTTCACAAAGGGGTTTCAAGTGAAGAGAGAGAAGAAGAAGAGAAGAAGGAAGAGAAGGAAGAAGGTCCTCCTCGACCACCGCCGGAGCTATTCCCGCCGCCTGAAGACGCCGGAACTCTGCCGGATTTTCGGGAAACGCCGGGAATTTGCAGAACTTTCTAACTTTGTGAGAAGTTGATTGTAAACTGATTGTCTTGATTTGTAAGACGGATCAACCTTTGTACTTCAAACAAACACTAGTGGAACTTTACAACTGTGCGAGGCCCCATGATTTTTTCCCTTTTTGGATTTTCCACGTAAAAATTCTGGTGTTCATATTCTATTTTCTGTTTGTGTGCTGAATACTCGTATAACGCTCGGACACGAATTTACAAATTCTACCACCGCGTATATTCTAGCACGCAACAATAATATTAGTATTTTATGTTTTAAAAACGAGCATTATTCAAGTTTATTTATTTGGATTTTCACAAATTTGCTGGAAAAATAATTAATAACAAATATGTATCTGCCATAAATTTCACTTTAAGGGGTTCAAAATCCAGAAGTCGAAAGCCCTTCATGTTCCACGCCCGGCCTAATTAGTCAGCCGTGGACCGTGGTCGCTCTCAGTAAACTAGCCTCATCAGTCATCACTCTAATTATTAAAGCGTGCAACGCCTCTTCTCGCAACTTTCCCTACAGCACGTCAGCCTTGCCCGGTGTGTTGTACCGCAGGTTCCAAGTGCCCCACTTTAATTCACCCAATAGGGTACTACAGATTCCTAACTTCTTATCCTTCGAGGCAGCATTCTCATATGAATATAAAGGGTATTTATATATGCATTAAGCTTTTATATATTTATGTATCAAATATCTATTTTTTATATTTATGTATAAAATATTTTAATTTTTAAATGAAATCAAAAATTGATATTAATTTATTTTAACAAAATATATATTACATTATTATTATTATTTTTCTCACAAATAAATAAGATAGGATTATTCACAATTAGAATAAAAGTGTTTCTATATATATATATATATACTCATCTTAAAATAATTATAAATTTTAGCTTTATAAAATTTAACTTAAGAGGATTCAAATTTTAGCTTAAAAGTAATTTTTTAATTTTTTTAATGAGAACAAATACTTAAAAGCATTTTTTTAAAGAAAATGGCCCCCGCGGTCCGCTATATAAACGCCAAGCCCAGCAGCTTCAATCGGCCTTCGCTGCCTAGAAATTGAGAAGTCTTACCGTCTAGACTTTCTCTTTAAAGAGAGCGGTGAAAGGCGATTCTCGAACCACCAAATCTCTCTTCCTCCTCCATGGGGTTTCCTGTTGGTTATTCGGAGCTTCTGCTTCCAAAGCTCCTACTCCAGTTTTTCTTCTTCCTCGGCTTCTTGCGGCGAATCATCTCGTCGGCCTTCGACGCTGTTGGCCTCGGCGACCTCCTTGACTCCGACGCTCCATGGCCCGATCCACCCACCGAAATCCCACACCGCAGCAACAGATACCAACCCCCGGAGTTCCAATCCGTCTCAGCGATGCTGATCCAGGAGATCCTCCCCGTGGTTCGCTTTGAGGACCTCCTCACCGGAGAAGGGGAGATCGATCGGCGGCCAATGGCGGACGGCTGTGCTGTCTGCCTTTATGAGATCGAACCTTGGGAGGAGGTACGGCGTCTAAGCAACTGCCGCCATGTATTCCATCGCTGTTGTCTCGATCGGTGGATGCAGCACGATCAGCGAACCTGCCCTCTCTGCCGGACGCCACTCATCCCAGAGGAGATGCAGGAAACCTTCAATCTCCGGTTGTGGGCCGCTTCCGGCATTCCAGACTCCTATTCCGGCGATTCCCCTTCCCCATCATCGTTCCCCTCTCCCTTCTCGTTTCCCCCTCTTTCGCCTGCTCTTGTTTAGCCGGCGGCGGGAGGTTGGAAATGGGACGATCTACCAGCTTAATTTCGGTGACTGTAAATAGATCCAGGGGAGGCAAAGATTGACAACACTGAAAGTAGGAAATTGAAAAGGAATGTTGAAATTTAGTTGGCAAGTTTCCAATTCCTTCTGTATAGTTCCAATTTACTCAAGTTTTGGATCAGAATTTATGAGCTTCCTTCTGCGTTTGACTGAACGCTTGAAAACATTTAATGATCTTAATCAATTTTGATGGTAAAAGTGCATCCGTCCATCGAATGTCGATTTTCTCCGTGATTTCGAGATAAAAATTTGTGGCAAAAACTGAAGAGACAGGGTTGGGTACAGCTTTTATTATCATAGGATTTTCTCACTGCTTTTTTCTTGCTTTTGACTGGGGTGTTTCGGGTTTGATTAAACTAATGATGTTTGCTTCTTGCGTATATTAACCTTTCTTCTCATCTATTGTTGCTAAGGACACCGAATCCTCCAAAGTCAGTTTTGTTCTCCTGCCTTCTAAAGGAGAGATTATTAGGTGCAGTTCTTATCGGAGAATCGCCCCGTTTGTGCTGTAAAAGCACCGTGGTGCGGTAACTATTCAACACAATATTTTTACTGCGCACACTGTACATAACTTCGGTCCGACGGTCCGACGGTCCGACTCGGCACTTTAGTAATCTCTCCTTCTAAAGTGTTGGAAAAGGTAAACTACTGAACTGAACTGTTCATAGCCTATAGCTCTGAATAAATTGCGTTGTAGGAGCATCTGATTAATTTTTCGTCAGGCATGTGGTATTTAAATAATTAAATAATGCTAAAATTTATAAAACAAAACTTATATTATTATAATCATTTTAAAGATAAAATATATATTTATATCAACGTTCAGGGATATTTTTACATGAATATTTTTTTGTTAAAATATAAAAAATAATCTGTTGTTATTTGGGCTCACCATAGGTATTTAGATGGTTCAAAATTGAAACATATTATATCACCCTACGCTAACCATATCAAATTTTTATCCCACTAAATGGGGGTTGGTTATAGGAATTTTTTTTTTCATTATATCCTAGTAGAAGTCAAATTTTTATTTAAATCTAATAAAAAAATATCATTTCTAATATTTTCCAATTAAAACTTTTTAGGTCTACCTCTAACTTTTTAACGTAAGTCAAATCTAATACATTCACTCTCCTAATCAGGTCTTCAGAAGGCCGTCGCTTTATGTCATCAAATCATTTAAGGAGGCTTTATCTAATCTTATCTTCAACTGGAGCTAGCTACTCTAACATTTTCATGTATATGCTCGTTTCAAATCTTGTATATACCCTAGACCCTAAACCCCATACCTACCGGTGCTTAGCTTGGTTGGTGGGCGAGTACGGTTGGGAACATCCCAACCCGTACTCGATTCCCCTCGAGCGGCCACTACAGGAAAAATGCCTATTACCGGCGGTTCTAACCGGCGATTCTAACCGGCGGTTCTAACCGGCGGTTTATGGACCGCCGGTCACACCGGCGGTTTCGCCGGCGGTTTGACCGCCGGCTTTTAACGGCGGCCTGACCGATGGGTTTGGTACGTTAAGCCGCCGGTACTAGCGACGGTCCATAAACCGCCGGTAAACCGCCGGACATCAATATAAACCGGTGGTTTAACGACGGCCTGGACTGCCGTTGATAAGTTATTTTCTGCCGGCGGTCCGGACCGCCGGAAAACCGCCAGTAAATGCCCTAATACGAACAGACCCGCACCACGCATTTCATTTCTATTTTTTCCTTCTCTCTCTCGTTTTGGTCGCTCTGCCGTCGCCTCCGCTCGCGATCGACTTCCGTTTATCGCCGCCGACCCCAATCCGACCGCCGACGCCGTATCTCCGAGCTCCGACCGCCTTCGATCTCACTCGGGATCTCACGCCGCCGACAACCCTAGATTTCGTATTTTAAGATAATTTTTTATCGTTTTTCTGTGATTATTTGTTCTCACTAGACATTTGCAAGTGTTAGAGATATTTTGGATGATTTAGGTAATAATGCAAGAGGTAATGTTGTAATCATTTGGGTAGATCTAAATTTTTTTTTATTAAGTGTTATTTTAGTTTAGGGTAGATCTAATTTGTTGATTGTGGGTTTTGGGTTAGAGCAAGATAGGAAGATAGAGATTGAGGGAGAGAAAAGAGAGGGAGAGGGAGAGATAAAAGAGAGAGAGAGGGAGAGAGAGAACAAAAGAGATAGATAGATAGAGAGATATATAAGAGAGCAAGAGAGAGAGAGAGAGAGAGAGAGAGAGAGAGAGAGAGAGAGAGAGAGAGAGAACAAGAGCTAGCATTGAGATGAGGGAGAGGGAGAGAGAGAGAACAAGAGAGATAGATAGATAGCAAGTGTTAGAGAGAGCGAGAGATCGAGAGGGAGAGAGAGAAAAGAGAGGGAGAGGGAGAGAGAGAAAAGAGAGGGAGAGTGAAAAGAGAGTGAGAGGGAGAGAGAGAGAGAACAAAAGAGAGAGTGAAAAGTAAATCCACTCATCCACCTAAACATCCTCATCTCTGCAACACTTAACTTAGTATTACGCTTGTCATTTAATGGCCAACATTCGGCACCATAAAGCATTGCATGTCTCACCATCTTATAGAATTTTCCCTTAAGATTGAGGGGGACTTTTCTATCGTACAACAAGCCCGATGCATTCCTCCATTTCAACCATCCAACTTGAATTATGCTGATAATATCCTCATCTATTTCACCATCACTCTGAACAATAGATCCAAGATATCTAAAATGTGTACTCTTATTAATGACTTGGTTGCCCAAAATTACACTCCATATATTTAGTTTTAGATACACTAACCGGCGGCTTAATGGCCGGAGAACCACCGGTTACAAATCCGGTAGTCACCGGCGGCGTATGCCGCCGGAAAACCGCCGCCTAAAATAACCGCCGGTAAAAGTTTCCTACGCCAATTATTCCGGCGGTTTAAAAACCGCCAAAAAACCGCTGGTAAAATTAAAAACCGCCGGTTTTTCCTTCCTAACCGTCGGAAAAAATTACCGGTATTTGACGTTTTTCCTGTATTGGGCAACACCTCATAAGTGAGATCCAGTCAAGTGCGGGTTAGCCGAGGATTAGTCACACTGTCAAGCGACCTTTCAAGGGTGACAACAGGTGGATATTTCACTCAAAAAAAAAAAAAGAGCCACTCATGCACCCGAGCATCCTCATCTCTATAACATTTAACTTAATATTGTGCTTCTCTTTTAATGACCAATATTATGTGTCATAAAGTATTAAATACCTCACCACCCTCTTAAAGAACTTTTCTGTAAGTTTGAGGGAAACTTTTCTACCCTGAAAAACATAAATACTATATATACAGAGGCCTAATTACTATCTACAATAATGTCAGCTAATATGCTCGAACTCCATTCAATTTAACATATATCATTAATAATGCTTATGAACTATAATCTTTCAGAAGAGCATGAGCTTTTAGAGCTCACAAGTTTTAGGTGATTCTGATGACAAAAGTTCCCTTCATCTCTGGATCGTCATCCTGCCTCAATATGGCGTAGAACCATTGAGAAAAATAGGCTAATGGCCATGATGTAAAATTCTATTGGAATAATTTGCCTATTGGTTTGAATATTGAGGACTATCTTACATGACAATTTTTGTGCATGCCTTGCTTGAACATGCGACGGTAGTAACGGTCACATGGCTCCACTGAGAAGTCAGATGAGCCCATACGTCAAAATTCACACTCTAATGGGTGCATTACTCACAGTTCTGATATTGCGTACCACAGTTCTGTAAATGAGGTTCTGCTAAAGAAAATTTCATAGTTTTTTTTGGGTTTAGGGTTTAGCCAGTTGTGGATTGGATTTGAGTTAATTGATTCAGTCAGGATTTCAAGTATTTAGAAAGCAAGAGGTATATGGAGGTGATGGATATGATAGTTAGCTTGCTAAATTTTGATGATTAGATTTAGATTTAGGCTGCGATTGGGACGTCTTTTTATTGCGTTTTAGTACAAAAAGTAAAAAAATTTGTACTAAAACTCCATTTTAGAAAGCAATAAAAAAGCCGTCCCAAACGAAGCCTTAGTTTGTGACATCTTTTTTATTATTTCTTAAAATAGTTTTTTTGTTAAAAAAGATATTTTAAGAAGTAGTAAGAAAGCCGTCCCAAATGAAGCCTCAATTTGGGACAGCTTTTTCACTGCTTCTTAAACATTAATTATTTTATTAAAAAGCTGCTTTAAAAAGTAGTAAGAAAATCAACCCAAATGAAACCATAATCTATTAAGATGAGAAAGCCGATAAAATCAACAAAAAAAATTATGAATCAAAATTTTTAAATTATATTAAATAACTCTTATATTATATGAACAAATACATGTTAACTGAGCATAATTTTATTTTAACCGAGGCTTTATTTGAAACATTTTCTTTTTTTCTTTTTTTTTTTCGGTCTTAAAAAAAGAAGTTCATAAAAAAATGTGTTTGAAAAACATCTTTTTCACTGTTTTTTCAAAATTTTACTCTCATATAAATGCTTTTGAAAAAACAATTTTGAAACCGTGGTTGAGAAAGAGGGATTAAAAAAAGCAAAAAACAGAAAAACTTAAGTTGTCCCCAACAAAGCCTAGATTAGCCTCGACCTATAACCCGATATGATATTTGATCGTCGAACTCGTCGAACCCGCTTGTGTACCAACTTTGGTCTTCATGTGCAAATAATCACATGAAATTTCAGGCCAAGTTGCGCCAAAATACAACCCATTTGAGTAGCCAACTACGAAGGAAATGGTGCCGAATTCAGCCTAAGGCATAATAAAATTAAATAAAAACCCAAGTTTCAGTTAATTGGCTGAATGGATCTCCTATCAGAAAAAACACTGAGAATAGAATGTAAATTATTTGACTAAGTACTAGCTAGACAAATCACTCAACACTCTACAGATGGGGCGAATTATTATGTCCGGTTACCGGACGTCCGGACATCCAATCCAAACGCTCCACGTCACCCAAATACACCGGGACCCAGTGTATTTGGGTGATGTGACGCGTCTAATAATTTGCCCACAGATGGCACCTTCAAGGAAACGTCGGAGCAACTAGCAAAATACAAGCAACTGGCCAAGATGTAGGAGATATTAGACGATTTCAAATAAAGATCTATTAAAAAATGAATTTGGTGCATAATTTTGTCTGAATCCATATGGGATGGCTCCACTGTACAGTGAGCC